AATAGATGTACACAATGTATTGTGATGCTTCTAGAGATGGACTTGGTTGTGTTTTGATGCAGTCCGGGAGGTGGTGGCTTATGGTTCTCGACAATTAAAGAACCACAAGCAAAATTACCCCACGCATGATATGGAGTTGGCGACCATAGTCTTTGCCCTGAAGGCTTAGTGCCACTATCGTATGGTGAGTTGTTTGAAGTATTTTCGGACCACAAAAGTCTGAAATATATTTTCACTCAGCAAAACCTCAGCATGAGGCAACGTAGGTGGATGGAGTACCTATAGGACTATGACTTCACTTTGAATTACCATCCCCGTAAGGCAAATGTGGTGGCTGATGCACTTAGCTAGAAGTTATAGGGAGTTATGGCTAGTATGGCTTCCCAAGAGGGCAAATGCTTGAGACTGTGGGATAGTTTAGGCTACATTATCGGGGCTAGACTCAGGGTGTTTTAGGGAGCTTGGTGGCTACGCTTTTCTCTACTGAGCAGGGTGATTGACTCATAGGGGTAGGGCCCAGAGTTATCATCCTTTAGGGACCGAGTGCAGGCAGGTACCGTGATGAGGGTTGGGCATTCACTCAGATGGCAGTCTTCAGTATGGGGAGGGTTGTAGTTCCCAGTCTTCGAATTTGAAAGAGGAGACCCTCAAGGAGTTCCAGTGCTCCCATTTTGTAGTTCATCCAGGTGGCACGAAGATGTATCATGATCTCCGTCACTAGTACTATTGGAGTGGAATGAAGAGGCATGTTGGAGACTTTTTCAATAGGTGTCTCACATGTCAGCAGATGAAGGCTGAGCACCAGAGACCAATAGAATTGCTCCAGCCCTTGGAGGTGGCTGAGTGGAAGTGGGAGCACATCACGATGGATTTGTGATTCACTTGGCCTAGACATCACGAGGGCATGACGCAGTGTGGGTGATAGTGGATCGGATTACCAAGTCGGCACACTTTTTTGTGGTGCGGATGACCTTTAGGCTAGAGGAGTTCTGCAGGTTGTATATACGGGAGATAGTCCGATTCCATGGGGTGCCTATATCTATAGTATCGAATCGGGACCCCAAGTTTATGGCTCACTTTTGGGAGAGCTTCCAGCGGCCCATAGGGACATAGTTGACAATGAGTACAACCTTTCATCCCTAGACAGACAGTCAATCATAAAGGACCATCCAGGTTTTAGAGGACATGCTGTGGGCATGTGTCCTAGATGTCAAGGGTAACTGGAAAGAGCACTTACCCCTTACTAGAATTCGCCTACAATAATAGTTACCAGGTGAGCATACAGATGACACCCTATGAGGCACTCTATGAGAGGCTATGCCGTTCTCCGGTTTGTTGGATGGAGGTTGGATAGAGACCATCTACGGGTTTGGATTTGATTAGAGACACGACGGAGAAGGTGGACCTAATACAAAAATGTCTTCTTACGACTCAGAGACGACAGAAGAGCTATGTTGATAGACGACGGCGACCTCTAGAATTTGAGATTCATGATCATGTCTACTTAAAGGTGATTCCTACGAAGGGAGTAGTCAAATTCAGAAAGCAGGGAAAGCTGTTGTCAAGGTATATTGGACCCTTTGAGGTACTCGAGATGGTTGGTTCAGTTGCTTACCAGTTGGTGTTGTTGTCCGAATTTGATATTGACAATTTATGTGCAAGTACACATGATCAACATGTAATAAAGTGATAAGTAGAGTATTGTTCCCACTGAGAATTATTGCTAATAATATCCAAGTACTAACTTTGTATCAATTCAATTTTATTTAAGCAATTGGAATTAGCTAGGAATTCACTAATTTAAAACTAAATCTAAACTTAATAATCAAAGGTTGAATTTATTGGATAAAAGAACTTAAGATTACAACTTCCCCTAATACTTCATATAAATCTTTCTAACTCTCATTCCAATCAATTAATCAAAATAAGTTGTTAACTGAGAACTCAAAGTTATTTGTCAAACCTCTTCCGATAGTTAGATAAAATTATTCCTTCCAATTAAATTACTATATTCCTATGCAAAATAATTTGGAATAGATTCATTAAGTTCAAACTCTCATAAAAGTTACACACGACATATAGATATATTCCTATCCTATACACAAACCCAGCTATTCAATCCGAAGAAGAATTAACCAGACGCATGTCATCATATTCCGATCTAAACCTAGAATTCATCTCCCAATTTTATCTAGGTTATCACATTAATTGTTGGCCAAACAATCATATACTAAGCACAAAATATGCTAAATAACTCATGTATGATCAATAGGACTAGAATCGAGAGTAGATCAATTTAACTAAACATCAGGTTCTGTTGCAATCTTAATAAAGATTTAATTCATAATGTAATTGAAAAACATCCTTCTCAAATTAAACAACATCTTAGAAAATCAAGAAATAAAAGTAAGAGAAAAGAATGAAAACTTAGTTGTAATCTTCAATTACTCTCTAGCCTTCAAGTCCAATTTTCTTCGTATTGCTTCCTTCGATTCTTGTCTTCAATTTTTTTGTTAATTCTTGGTCTTTTTTCTCTTGTTAGCAGCCCCCAAAGTAAGTCTATATCCATTCCACTTCAAACCCTACAGTATATATAGCATTAGGGTTCAATTTCTGCCCCAAAATAAGTCAGAATTTTTGTCCAAAGCCAACACAAGTGCCACAGCGCTAAAAATCAGTGCAGGGGCACTGAGTTACTACATTTCCAGTGTAGGGGCACTGGTTTTGGTGCAGGGGCGTTGGTCCCCTTTCAAGCCTAAACTTGCCCTTGTTGCTTTGTTTTCAAAAATTCAACACTTAGGCTCCAAATTGACTTTGGTTCCTTCCAAATGATATTGTTTGCTTCCAAATGATGATTCCTACCAAATAACATCAAAACACACCAAAAAAATAAAAAGGAACATAAACTAATTGAAAACTTGCAAATTCATCAAGCCAAAAGTACTCAATTCGTAGGTATAAAATCTACTCATTAGGCATTACTGCCAAATCTATCAGGCATTCATGCAGTGTTCCATGTCTCTATGCTTCAGAAGTATACTCCAGATTTGACACATGTGGTGGATTGGAATGAGTTGACTGTTGATGCAGACGGAACCTTTGAGGAGGGACCAGTGCGTATCATGGATAGCCGAGAGCAAGTTTTGTGAGGCAAGATTGTGAGGCTAATGAAGGTTCTGTGGCAGCACCGAGGTATGGAGGAGGCAACAAGGGAGCGTGAAGACACCATACGTACCAGTTATCCATTCTTGTTCGAGGATAGAGGTACATGTTTACAATTTTAAGTATAGTACTACTTGTTGCATATGCATGCGGTTAAGTGTGTATGTGTGTATAAATTTTGGGAACAAAATTCTTTTAAGGGGGGAAGAATATAAAACCTCGGTAAATTTAAACTTTTATGAAAAAGGGGCAAAATGATAATTTGTCACTACAATACGGGTTGCAAACCTGAATTTTGAACCTTAGCCATTTCCTTTGCAAAACTATATCACTAGTGTAGTTGTAGGCTAAGCTTCTACTTGCCCGTCTAAGCCTTCAAATCACCTCCCATTGATGGGAGGTCTGCTCTCAAAGGCTAGGGGTGCCTAATGGATGAAATTTCAAGTCTCTCTACACAATATATTCAGCATTCCACAAGCTTTGAGGGGGGCCACCAAAGTTTAGGAGTAGTCCAAGGAAGAAGATGATGAATATTAGATAGAAAAGCTTATGTTTTTGCATTTTTCTTTCCATTTCAGTTGTAGTAAGCTTTAAATATCTTGTAATCTTCATTTCTTGCACCTTAATATTAGCTATTTCAAGTGTATTCCAAGTTTAGTTACATGTTCTTCAATCCACCATTGTTGCTTTCAAGTTTTCTTCATTTCCTAGCTTTAAAATGGGTATTGCATATTTTTCTTCATAGTTTAAGATTTTTTGCATTAAGTTAAGTTCCATGTTTCATTTCTTAATTATGTCTCTTTACATTATGGATTTCTTTCTTGCTTTCATGAGTAGCTAAATTTTTGTTGGCTAATCTAAGGGAGACCTCCTCTTGAGTTTGCCATTTCAATTCATTTTCTTTCCTCCTCTCGATGTACGACAGTTCAATTTGACTGGGTTTAGTGTGGATGCGATTGTGAGTTTTTGATATCCCGTAGCCCTGGTCATGAGTTATGCTTGGATCCTCACTTTCATCTCTTCCCTCACTTCCCATGAATCAATCGTTTATCTATGCACCATTGGAGGAAGACCCCGTTGAGTTGGCATTCCCATTGGAATGACCTCTTTAGATTACCAACACTTGTTTTCATTTCATTTTCCTTAAGAACACAAAACACCCAAACTCATAATAACAAAAGATTTTACATTTTTCTATTTTCACAAAATCACCTGCATTAGAAATCCTTTCGTTCCCTAAGGAGATAACCTTGGAATACTTTTCCAAGTAAAACATGACACACAAAAGTCTTCTTGCGCTTGGGAAGCATTTTTGTTCACATACACACACACACATTATATTCATCCACCATTCCGTTGCCCTTTCTTTTGACATCATTCCAAGGAGAGTAACACTCCCCTTCACACACACACCATACATGCATTGAGGGATGATGTCTAGAGACTAGTGATTAACCCTAATTAAGGCATAATTTAATAGGTAAATTGTGTTAGTTGAATAAAGTTAAACTAGTCAAAATAAATCAAATTAGAATTAGTGTGTGAATAAAGGATAATGCATTAATTGTTGTTCTTTTCAGGATTTTGTGCGTCAAAGCTACAAACTACTGGGGAGCCAATTGCATTAAAGCTACAAACTACTGGGGTGCCAATTATCAAAGCTCAAAACAAAGGAGGATCAAAGAATTCAAGGCCACCTAACAAGATTTTCAAGTCCACCTAACAAGATTTTCAAGTCCACCTAACAAGATTCAAAGTCACCTAACAAGACTCTTCAAGTCCACCTAACAAGATTCAAGGCCACCTAACAAGACTTTCACCCTCCCTTGTTGCCTATAAATACCACCCCTTAGGACTTGTAAAGCATTCATCTTTTGGTAGTGGAAAACCCTCCAAAAGTATTATTGCTTTCCTTATTGCTTATAGCTTTCTTTAAGTATTGCTTTCTTTTATTGTATTCTTGCTTCCTTTTAATTTATTGCTTTCTTTTACTTTAAGTATTGCTTTCTTTTATTGTGTTATTGCTCTTTTACTTCCATTGCTTGAGCTTCCTTCTTCCCTTAGAGGAGTGAAACTCTTCCACTTTTCTAGAGCTTTACCAAAGCCGTGAAGGGTGGAACGTGATTCACTCATTCTTTGTCGAAGATCGGCTCCTTGTGTAAAATGTGTTACCTTGTAACTCCTCTACTTGGAGGGATGAGCATCACTCACTTTTCTAGTTTTAACAAAGCCATGAAGAGTGAGTAGTTTCTCATCCAATCTTTAGTAAGAGGTGGTTATCCGAAAGTTAAATTTATGCAATTCGTTTATGCTTAGCTTTAGTCTTTATTTTTTCATAATGTCTTCTCATCATATTGTTGTCTTTATTTTAAGCATGAATAGCTAAATCTCTTAGTTGGCAAAACCAAGAGGAACCTCCACTTGGGTATACCATTTCAACTCATTCTCCTCCCCTCTTTCAGAGTTCAATGGTTCGGTTTGACTGGGTTGAGGGTGGATAACTTGGTGAGTCTTTGATATTCCGTAGGCCTAGTCACGGTTTATGCTTAGATACTCACCAATCTTACCCCTAGCTTCCCACGAATCAATCGTTCATTCATGCTCTATTGGAGGAGGGTTTTGAGTTGAGACGGTATTCCTATTGGAGTGACCTCTTGGATTTGCCAACATTTGTTTCTCATTTTACTAGCATCAAAAAACTTCCCAACAATCAAAGATTTTACACTTTCTTTCTCCCAAAATCACCTTCCCCTCGGTTTACTTCCTTCCCCGTGGAAACGACCTTGGAATACCACCAAGTAAAACACGATCCGTGAAAGTCTCCTTGCGCTTGGGGAGCACTTTTGTTCACACATACTCACATTTGAAATCTCATTCATCCACCATTCCGTTGCCCTTTCTTTTGACATCATCCCTAGGAGAGTGACACTCCCCTTTATTCATATACTATACATGCTAAAAGGTGATGTTTATAGGTTAGGAAACAACAAGGAAATTTGTCAAGCATTTTTGGCGCCGTTGCCGGGGAAGGCAAGTGTCAAACCAAGAAGGTGATTTTCGGACGACGGAGGTAAGTCCCATGATCTTCATCATGGGCTGAGGTACGTTGTTCCGTGTACATAATCTTGTTTGTGTATAACTTTGTTTGTATATATTTTGTTTTATGTGGAGGCGGAACGACCGAAACCGACTTGTTAGACAAAACTTGGCCCCTACCATGAATATTGACCAAGAACAACCCGAGGATGCGGGTGACAATTTTGACAATATAGTTGCAAATCCAAATGTCCAAAGGGGTGGGGGACCACAAGAACCCCAAATACCCAATCCGAGAATGAATTTTCCCCCTCCCGTGAATGAGGGGAATAATTTTCAAATGAATCCCCCGGTGAGGTCAATGAGGGATTTCCTACAACCAACACGAAGCACCACACCATCATGCATCCTCCTTCCGGTCCAAGCTCATCTTTTCATAGTTAAGCCAGGGATGTTGCAACTAATTCCCACGTTCAACGGATTTGAAACTCAGAGCCCCTATTCACACATAAGGGATTTTGAGGAAATGGTTGCAACTTTCCTCCCCAATCATGGGATGGAAGAGATAGCTAGAATGAAATTGTTTCCCTTTTCCCTGAAAGACAAGGCAAAAACGTGGCTTATTTCCTTAAGGCCTCGAACCATCACATCGTGGAGCCAAATGATTTCTGAGTTTTTGAACAAATTCTTTCCGGTGCATAAAACCACTACCCTAAAAAAGCAAATTCAAAACTTTTCGAAAAGCCCAATGAGCAATTCTATCAATGTTGGGAGAGGTACAAGGAATTGCTACAATCCCTTCCACATCATGGCTTTGAACCATGGCAATTGGTGAGTTTCTTTTATGAAGGAATCACACCGGGCCATCGACAGTTCATTGACATGATGTGTAATGGGGAGTTTTTGAACAAAGACCCTGATGAGGCCTTAGATTACTTTGATACATTGGCACAAAATGCACAATCATGGGACATTACAGATCCCACCGATGTACCAAGGTCTTCTCCTCAAAAGACTGGCCAAACTCAAGGGGGAGGGATTTATGATTTGAGAGACCGGGAAGACTTGTTTTCAAAAATTGCTAAATTGTCAAGGAAAGTTGAGAGTCTTGAAGTCAATAAGAGACACGAGGTGTCTAATGTGTCACGAACCGAGGAGGGTTGTTCAATTTGCGAATGTATGGAGCATTCCCTATCGGATTGCCCAAACATTCCGACCCTTAAAGAAGCGTACCATGAACAAGTCCATGCATTCAACCAAACGAGGCAATCATTTTCTCCCAATTCAAATACTTACAATCCGGGTTGGAGTAATCACCCAAATTTTAGTTGGAGAAATGAAAACCCCATTCCTCATGGTTCAAGTGCATATGCATCTCCCATGCCTCCCAAGCAAAACCAATACCATGGCCAAGGGCAAGCATCTAGCTCTCAATACCCCCGGACCAATCCACAAGGGTATTTGTCAAACCCACCACCACAGAATTTTTCACCAAATCCACCTCCACAAAGTTTTTCTCAAGGACCGTCCAATCCATCCACATACCAACCTCCTCACAAAAGGAATTTGGAGGATATGGTCCATTCCTTCATTCAAAGCCAAACCGCCATCAATAACCAAAATGCCACAGCCATCAATGATGTAAGAGCCCAACTCACAAAGTTGACAAACTCCATAGGGGCATCTCAACAAGAAAAGGGGAAGTTCCCCGCTCAACCACAAGAGAACCCTAGGGGTCAACACCTTGTTGAGTCATCGGAACCTTCGAAAGAGAGTTGCGAGCAACTCAAAGCTGTCACCACCCTCCGCAGTGGCAAAGAAATTGACAAAACCATTTTGCCAACGGTCTCACCCAAGACCACATTGCCAAAAGAAAAAGATCTCTTGGGTGACGCCGACAAGAGTGAGGTGCGTGAAGAGAAAGAAAGAGAGGTTGTTGAGAAAGGAAAATTAATTGATGATTGTGTGTTTATTCCTCCCTTGCCTGCCCCTTTCCCAAGTCGTTTGAAGCCACCTGTCAAGGTGGCTAATTATGCTGATATTTTGGAAATGTTTAAGCAGGTGAAGATTAACATTCCACTCCTCGACGCCATCAAGCAAATTCCATCATGTGCTAAGATTTTGAAGGACTTATGCACGGTGAAGAGAAAACTGAATGTCCACAAGAAAGCATTCCTCACCGAGCAAGTGAGCTCAATTTTGAGGACTAACACTCCTCCCAAATTCAAAGACCCCGGTTGTCCAACCATAGCCATCACCATTGGAAATTATCGAGTGGAGCAAGCACTCCTCGATTTGGGGGCAAGTGTGAATCTTCTTCCCTACTCGGTGTACCAACAGCTGCAGCTGGAGGAGTTGAAGCCCACCTCAATCACACTTCAATTGGCGGATCGTAGTATCCGTACACCAAGGGGAGTAGTTGAGGATGTCTTAGTTCAAATTGATAAATTTTACTTCCCTGTCGATTTCATTGTGCTTGATACACATCCTGTTGCAAACCTTAGCTCCCAAATTCCCGTAATACTTGGAAGACCCTTCCTTGCTACATCTAATGCCGTGATAAATTGCAGGAACGGTCTAATGAAGTTGGCATTTGGGAATATGACAATGGAGCACAATGTATTCAACTTGGCAAAGCAACCGGGTGATGATGAGGAAGTAAGTGAGGTCAATAGAATCGACACTTTGGTTGAGGAGCACTTGGAGCTGGAGGGGATATTGAAATTTAAGGAAGAAGGAATTGTGGATCTTGAGAATTATGATGAGCAAGAGGAGGTAGAAGATTTGAAAGGGATGGAAAGGTGGATCCCTACATTCGAAGAGTTACCCCATCGAGAAAAGAAAATTTTTCCGTCGGATGAACAAAAGCCCAACTTGGAGTTGAAGCCCTTGCCCACCCATTTGAAGTACGCCTATCTTGGGGAAGGTGAAACATTTCCGGTGGTCATTAGCTCTACATTAAACATGGAACAAGAAAAAGAACTCTTGGAGGTGTTGAGAAAACATAAAGGAGCAATTGGGTGGACCATTGCGGATATCAAGGGGATAAGCCCTCTCATTTGCACCCACCGCATATATCTTGAGGAGGATTCCAAACCTTCCCGACAACCACAAAGGCGGTTGAATCCCATCATGAAGGAGGTGGTAAGGGATGAGGTTCTGAAACTACTTGATGTGGGGATCATTTTTCCAATTGCCGATAGTAAGTGGGTTAGCCCCACGCAAGTAGTACCTAAGAAATCCGGAGTTACGGTGGTTGAGAATGATGAGAATGAGCTTATTCCTACAAGAGTAATCACCGGATGGAGGGTGTGCATTGATTACCGAAAGTTGAACGCTTGCACAAGGAAAGACCACTTCCCATTGCCATTCCTCGATCAAGTTCTAGAACGAGTAGCGGGGCATCTATTCTACTATTTTTTAGATGGATACTCCGGCTACAATCAGATTGAGATTGCTTTGGAGGATCAAGAGAAGACCACTTTCACATGCCCCTATGGTACCTTTGCCTACCGCCGCATGCCATTTGGACTGTGCAATGCTCCGGGGACTTTCCAACGCTGTATGATGGGAATTTTCAGTGACATGGTGGAAAAGATAGTGGAGGTCTTTATGGATGACTTTTCGGTGTTTGGGGATTCATTCGAGGGATGTTTGGCAAACTTGGAGAAAGTTCTAACAAGATGTGAGGAGAAGAATCTAGTCTTGAATTGGGAAAAGTGTCACTTTATGGTGACAGAAGGAATTGTGCTTGGCCATATAGTTTCGGCAAGGGGTATTGAAGTCGATAAATCCAAGGTGGAGGCCATCTCCAACCTCCCTACGCCAAGAGCCATCAAAGGCATCCGGTCATTTTTGGGCCATGCAGGTTTTTATCGTCGATTCATAAAGAATTTCAGTGCATTGGCCCGACCCTTGACCAACCTGCTGTCTAAGGAGGTCCCATTTGAGTGGTCGGATGATTGTGAGGCATCCTTTAAAAAACTTAAAAGCATGCTAGTCACACCTCCGATCATGCGACCACCCAATTGGGATCTACCTTTTGAGCTCATGTGCGACGCAAGTGATTACGCGGTCGGCGCAGTGCTCGGTCAAAGGGAGGAAAATAGACCATATGTGATACACTATGCTAGCAAAACACTTAATGAGGCTCAGATGAATTACACTACCACCGAAAAAGAATTGCTAGCAGTAGTGTTTGCCTTAGATAAATTTCGTGCTTACATCATTGGTTCGCCTATTGTTGTCTTTACTGATCACTCTGCTTTAAAGTATTTGTTGTCTAAGCAAGATGCAAAACCGAGACTCATTAGGTGGATACTCCTCCTACAAGAATTCGACTTGACGATCAAGGACAAGAAAGGAGTTGAGAACGTGGTGGCGGATCATTTATCCCGGCTTGTGGTGCAAGAGGCCGATGAGCACATTCCTATCCCTGATTTTTTTCCTGATGAGCATTTGCTGTCAATTCACTCTGTATGTCCTTGGTATGCTGATATATGTAACTATCTTGCAACAGGACAGACACCACCGCAATGGAGCCCAGAAGATCGAAGACGATTTATGGCAGATGTGAAGTACTTCTACTTCGACAACCCGTATTTGTTCAAGTATTGCCCCGACCAAATCATGAGGAGATGCGTACCTGAAAATGAACAGCGGGATGTCCTTGCATTTTGCCATTCACAAGCTTGCGGTGGACATTTCTCAGCGAAAAAGACTTCGGCCAAAATTCTTCAATCAGGTTTTTACTGGCCCTCTCTTATCAAAGATTGTGTTTCATTTTGTAAGGGATGCGACAAATGCCAACGGTTGGGTAGTGTGACCCAAAGAAACATGATGCCCCTTTCACCAATACTTGTCATAGAAATATTCGACTGTTGGGGCATCGACTTCATGGGTCCTTTCCCTATGTCATTTGGTTATTTGTACATCCTCCTGGCAGTGGACTATGTGTCCAAATGGGTGGAAGCTATTCCGACCAAGACTAATGACCATCGAGTCGTAGTCAAGTTTCTCAAGGAGAATATCTTTTCAAGGTTTGGGATGCCTCATTCAATAATAAGTGATGGTGGATCACATTTCTGTAATAGGCCATTTGCATCTCTAATGTTCAAATATGGCGTCACTCACAAAGTATCCACTGCGTATCACCCACAAACAAATGGTCAAGCCGAGCTAGCCAATAGGGAGATAAAGAACATTCTAGAAAAAATGGTTAACCCAAACAGGAAGGATTGGTCCGATAGATTGACCGATGCCCTCTGGGCATACCGCACTGCCTTTAAAACTATTTTGGGCATGTCTCCCTACCGGCTTGTCTATGGAAAGGCTTGCCACCTGCCAGTCGAAATGGAACACAAGGCCTATTGGGCCATTAAGACTTTAAATTTTAATTTGAGAATGGCCGGTGATCATAGGAAGTTAGAGCTGAATGAGTTGGAAGAGATTCGACGAGATGCGTATGAGAGCTCCAAAATCTCAAAAGAAAGGGCCAAAATCTTTCATGATAACTCCATTGTGAGGAAATCATTTGAGCCCGGGCAAAAAGTACTCTTATACAATTCTCGTCTCTCTATTTTCCAAGGCAAACTCCGATCCCGTTGGGATGGCCCCTATCTTGTCAAGGTGGCCTACCCCAACGGAGCTGTGGATGTTCAAAACCCCGAAAATGGCCAGACATTCAAGGTCAATGGCCAAAGACTTAAGCCATTTTTTGGGGGTTTTGAAGAACAAGTGGTGGAGGAGAATTTGATGGATCCGGTATACCCGGAAGTTGTGAAGGAATAATTAGTTTTTTTTTCTGCTTTTTAATGTACAGGTTTTTATTTACTTACTTTATTTTTTTTATTCCATGTTAATTATGTTCTTTTGTCGTATAGTTTTGTTTTTCTTAGTCGCAGATATTGGTGTTTTTGTCAAAGCTCAAGTGCGAGGTGTTCTCTAACCCTTCTTATTTTTTTACTGTCCATCATTGAATATCATATTTGTTTTAGAACACTCTATGAATCAAGTTGGGGGGGTTACACTATTTGCATATTACACCAATGTTTGTGGGAATATTCCGCGCGAATATTCGCGTCTGCCGACACTAAAAAAAAAATGGTGGGAATATTCTTCACGGATATGCGGCTGCCGACACTCAAAAAAAAAAAAAAGGATGTCTTTATAAGGCTTTCAATTTTTTTCTTTTCTCCCATCCACCGGTGATTGATCTCCCCTTCTTCTTCCTTTCTCTTTTCTTCTTCTTCTTCTTCTTCTTCTTCTTCGTCGTTCTCTCTGTTCTCTGTAAAACAAACCACCCATGCAAATCCATGACCATATACGCCGACAACCCAGTCCTTTGTTTAATAATTTGCCTTATATGTTTGTATTTGTTCATGGGTGCTCTTTTTCTGCTCACACTTAGGGTGAGGGGTTTCCAGCCTAACCCAAATCTCTCTCGAGTGGGTTAATTGTTGTGTTTTGTTTGTTGGTTTCGGCAGCTAAACAGATCTTTACACCCACCGCTTTTTCCTCTTTCTTCATCTTCTTCTTCTTCTTATTTCTATTGTGCTATTCTCTATAACACGACCCAACTCCCAACAATCCCATGACCATATTCCCCGAAGACCCAGTCGTTTGTCTCATGCTCGGCATTTGTTTACTCTATTTGTATATGGCTCTTCTTCTTCTGTCTGCATTTAAAATCAAGGGTTTTCGTCCTAGCGAAAACCCAGATCTGCGTAGAGAAGATTAATTTGTGTATTTTCTTTGTAGGTTTCGACAGTTGAACAGATCTCTACCCTACAACTTGATCTCTAAACTCTACACACTGGTAAATTCGAAACATTGGGGACAATGTTCGGTTTAGGTTGGGGGGTGTGATCTACGAATCCGTTTGTTATAGTTTTGTATTTAAAAAAAAAAGATTGTTCTGGATTGCGTATTTTTACAGCATTTTTGCTTATATTTCATGATCACATCAAATGCAGCGTCAATCGTCTTTGTGACTGGCAGACGTTAAAGAACCAGATAGTGAGTCTTGAAGCATAGAAAGTATGGATGTTAAAATTTTTTGGTTTAGTTTGGGAGTCTTGCGCACATTTCCATCTGATGTGCATGCTGTGATCATGAGAAAAACAAGAGTAGTCAGAAAAATTGAAATCCGAGAAGCACAAGCAAAACCATTGTGTGGCAGAAGTACTTTTGCTAAACGTCGTCGTGCCAAACGGTTGGGTGCTTGTAAACAATGTGGCAGGTGTTTTCACATGAAAAAATACAATCAGTGTTCTGAACCAATTTCGGGTCGTGCAACCGATCGATTAAACTGGATAGTGTATGGGCAGAGTAAGGATTTTCCTGAGACGCCATCTTATACCAGTCCGGGACTTACATGTTATGTGCGACAAGAAGTGGGAAGGGTCACTAATAATAACATAGACACAAGCGACGACTCGGATTAAATTTTAACTAATAATGACAAAGCTGTGGAAAAATGTGTTTTGGGGATGAAGGTTAATGGTCCAAATTTTTTTTTTGTAAATATTTGTTTATGTACAAAGTCTTTTTGTTGAAATAAAAATGTGGGTCGAGTAAGGATTGTCCTAAAATGCCAACTTGTAGCGTGGGTAGGGACCTATCCTGAGACACCATAGTTTTCCAAGTTCAATATGTGCATTTAGTCTTTTTGTAAATTTTCATGGATAAATGTGTATGTAAATAGTTTTGATTTTTATTCGAGTGAAAAAAAAACCGCATTTCCTTGAAAAATGGTATTTTCTCTATGCTTAAATGTCAAATGTACATTGGTATTTGTTAATCTTAAGATACAGAATGACCAAACTCGAAAATAGAATTATAATATAACTGACATTCTTTGGAAACCTGACATAACCAGTGGAGATAACGAAGAATACCATGGTAAGTTTTGAGCCTTACGATGCTTTCTGAGAGACAATCAACATTTACTCAAGTAAGCTCTTTCACTTTCAATTGTTGAATAATCTCATTAAACTTGCTTTGATTAAATGCAACTAAAGTAATCTATTGACATATCCTACAGGGAACCTTTGCATGCGACACAGGCACATACTTGAGAAAGGATTTTAGGTCATCTTTGAGTTGATTTTGAACCTTAGTCATTGCTTCTACAAAATTATATCCCTAGTTAGCCATGTTTGAGCCTTCAATGAATGATGATTTTTTTTCTCGAAAAACCCATATGATAACCGAGCCACCAAAAAAAAAAATACACTTAACATACCTTGCTATCCAATTTTTTCTTGCACCCTCTTATAAATCGGTATGACATAGAAAAAAAAAAAAAAAGAAAAGAAGATGGTGGCTACTGTTCAACAAAGAATCGAAAAAAAAAAATGGAAGAAAGAAATACCATTTCTAGGCAAAAGACTGAAAAGCAAGAAAGAGGTGTGCTACATTAAAAAAAGGGGATAGCTTTTGAATACCATTGACGTCATTTCATTAGCCACTAACCTCTGGCCACATTACAACCTATAGAAAGTCCTAATTGATCTCAAGTCTAATGCATGTGCGCTGTCGACCGAAAACTGGGGTATGTTAAATAGTATTTCTTTAATTGCATTGATATTCTTCCATGAGATTATGCCAAGAACATGATTAGCCTACTTTCTTAAGACTTTCACTCCCTTTCTAACTGTGCATGTGATTCTTCGATTGACCATCCTCTGATCACATGCCCTTTGAGAGACAAGTCATTATAATCGGAGTGAATTTTTTTTTTGCTGAGAGCATTCTAAGAGAGATTTGAGAAATCAAAGCTATCCATGGAAGGTGATAAAGTAGAATGTTTGTTATATAACAATTCTTGCTACTAGAATGATCATTCCTACTACACAAGGAATTCCAAATACCAATATAACAAGTGTTTATTTTTGTATAGAGTACGTACCAATGACAGAGAAGTGTTCGGGAAACAATTCAAAATTAAGAGATGTGTGTCTTAATGATTCTGTGGCTAACTCATTTTGACAAGAAATCTTACATATACACATCTTTTAATTGGAGTTTGTAGGTAGCTTCACTGAAAACCTTCACGAGACAAAACTCGTCCACTAGGGATCACTTAGGGGTTTAACGGCTTATTGCATATGCTAAATGCAATCGTGTTATCTACGAAAGTGATTTTATTTTGTTATGTTGTTTATTACTAGGGACTAGTAATATTTAGGTTGGGGGGTGTGATTAACCCTAATTAAGGCATAATTTAATAGGTAAATTGTGTTAGTTGAATAAAGTTAAACTAGTCAAAATAAATCAAATTCGAATTAGTGTGTGAATAAAGGATAATGCATTAATTGTTGTTCTTTTCAGGATTTTGTGCGTCAAAGCTACAAACTACTGGGGAGCCAATTGCATTAAAGCTACAAACTACTGGGGTGCCAATTATCAAAGCTCAAAACAAAGGAGGATCAAAGAATTCAAGGCCACCTAACAAGATTTTCAAGTCCACCTAACAAGATTTTCAAGTCCACCTAACAAGATTCAAAGTCACCTAACAAGACTCTTCAAGTCCACCTAACAAGATTCAAGGCCACCTAACAAGACTTTCACCCTCCCTTGTTGCCTATAAATACCACCCCTTAGGACTTGTAAAGCATTCATCTTTTGGGAGTGGAAAACCCTCCAAAAGTATTATTGCTTTCCTTATTGCTTATAGCTTTCTTTAAGTATTGCTTTCTTTTATTGTATTCTTGCTTTCTTTTAATTTATTGCTTTCTTTTACTTTAAATATTGCTTTCTTTTATTGTGTTATTGCTCTTTTACTTCCATTGCTTGAGCTTCCTTCTTCCCTTAGAGGAGTGAAACTCTTCCACTTTTCTAGAGCTTTACCAAAGCCGTGAAGGGTGGAACGTGATTCACTCATTCTTTGTCGAAGATCGGCTCCTTGTGTAAAATGTGTTACCTTGTAACTCCTCTACTTGGAGGGATGAACATCACTCACTTTTCTAGTTTTAACAAAGCCATGAAGAGTGAGTAGTTTCTCATCCAATCTTTAGTAAGAGGTGGTTATCCGAAAGTTAAATTTATGCAATTCGTTTATGCTTAGCTTTAGTCTTTATTTTTTTCATAATGTCTTCTCATCATATTGTTGTCTTTATTTTAAGCATGAATAGCTAAATCTCTTAGTTGGCAAAACCAAGAGGAACCTCCACTTGGGTATACCATTTCAACTCATTCTCCTCCCCTCTTTTCAAAGTTCAATGGTTCGGTTTGACTGGGTTGAGGGTGGATAACTTGGTGAGTCTTTGATATTCCGTAGGCCTAGTCACGGTTTATGCTTAGATACTCACCAATCTTACCCCTAGCTTCCCACGAATCAATCGTTCATTCATGCTCTATTGGAGGAGGGTTTTGAGTTGAGATGGTATTCCTATTGGAGTGACCTCTTGGATTTGCCAACATTTGTTTCTCATTTTACTAGCATCAAACAACTTCCAACAATCAAAGATTTACACTTTCTTTCTCCCAAAATCACCTTCCCCTCGGTTTACTTCCTTCCCCGTGGAAACGACCTTGGAATACCACCAAGTAAAACACGATCCGTGAAAGTCTCCTTGCGCTTGGGGAGCACTTTTGTTCACACATACTCACATTTGAAATCTCATTCATCCACCAGGCGTTGCCCTTTCTTTTGACATCATCCCTAGGAGAGTGACACTCCCCTTTATTCATATACTATACATGCTAAAAGGTGATGTTTATAGGTTAGGAAATAACAAGGAAATTTGTCAAGCAACTAGGAAATACAATTAAAACCATCAAGCATTTTTGGTGTGTTGCCGAGGAAGGTTAAGTGTTGAGTTCAAAGGTGATTTTGGATGGCATAGGCAAGTCTCGTGATTTTCATCATGGGCCAAGGTATGTCGTCTCATTTGTAAATATTTGTTGTAGTTTGTGTTTTGTGTTATGTTTTCTAATTTTTATGAAAATGTGTTAAATGCCCCTTATTTTGAAAATGTGTGTGAGATTTGGGATGAGCATGGACACATCACTAGTGTGTACCCAATAAATGCCCCTTATTTTAAAAACGTGTGCGAGATTTGTGGTGAGTATGAACACATCATTAGTGAGTGTGCAATAATGCCCCTTATCTTGAAAATGTGTGCGAGATTTATGGTGAG